ATCTCTCCTTCTTTTCTATCAAACATCTATCATCCTTATCTCTCCTCCTTCTGTCTTATCAAACATCTATCATCCTTATCTCTCCTCCTTCTTTCCTATCCAACATCTATCGTCCTTATCTCTCCTCCTTCTGTCCTATCCAACATCTATCGTCCTTAGCTCTCCTCCTTCTGTCCTATCAAACATCTATCGTCCTTACCTCTCCTCCTTCTTTCCTATCAAACATCTATCGTCCTTACCTCTCCTCCTTCGTTCCTATCAAACATCTATCGTCCTTACCTCTCCTCCTTCTTTCCTATCAAACATCTATCGTCCTTATCTCTCCTCTGTCTCTGTTGTATTTTCTACTCGCTTGTAACATCTCTAATCTTGGCACTCATATATGACCTTATTCTGGATCAATAGCTACATATGACCTTATTGTGTTGCGAGAGCCGTGAAACACTTACTAAAACTGAAAACCCTAACGATCCCTCCCATCAGATCCAGGGTCCACTGACGCCCATAAGTCAAGCCATGCCGCAGGTGATTCACGGCAGCACCCCGCTGTCCCAGATCGGGCTGTCCCTGGCTTCCCCGCAGCAACAGCAGCAACAGCAGCAGTCGCAGCAGCTGCAGCAGTCGCAACAGCAGGCCGTCCAGACGGCAATGACGCCACAGCTACAGCACGTTCAGAAAGAGGCCAAAAGCGCTGGTGAGTAAAGCACCAGCAAGGGCTCAAAGGGTGAAGGAACTGTTCTCTGATGACTGAGGAGAAATGGGGAATGTTGAAAAGAAGTGAAGTCAAATAAAGTCAAATGAGCACAGCCGTGGTGAATGTTGAGTAGTAAAGTCGAATGGTCACAACTTTATTACCGATGTCTGTAGTGTAGCAGTTACACGCTTTTCTGTGACAAACTGGAGACTTGAGTTCAATTTTCCAGTGGGGAGAATGTTTATTGAGCGTCCCAGGTCTTTCTGTAAGATGTTGTATTCTCCTTAGCCTGGTTTGGTTCGACAGGCAGGTGTGGGAGCTCGCCTCCTGAATGATCTAAACTGTCAATGGGGGTGTGAAAACACATACAATTTTTTTTTAAATAAAAGGAAAAAATAAAGATCTCTATTGAGGTCATGTGTAACTCTTGACTCTAACTTACTTTATTTCGGTATCAAACCTTGTTTCTGATCTCCTTCCTCATCAGCTAAACTGAACAACATGCTGCAAGACGATATCGATGACGATGATAAAAACTCCAAACAAAAGCGAGGCGTTCTACCCAAACAGGCAACACAGATCATGAAGTCCTGGCTCTTCCAGCATATAGTTGTGAGTTTACGTAAACATGTGTCAAGTACTGCCAACATACAGTGGTCAGTTTACGTAAACATACGTCAAGTACTGCCAGCTGTAGCTGTCGCAAAAAGTGTTCAATTGTTTCTCATCTATTATCTATTTGTGGTGGCCGAATGTTGCTATTCAAAAAGACTTTTTAATGGCTGCATCGATCGACATGCAGTTTTCGCC